ATTTAGTATAATTTCAGAGGTTATCAAAGAGTTTCCAGAAACCTGATTGGTCGAGCGGTTTCTTATATGACGCTATACAAACCGCTTCACGCGGTTTATATAAAATGTTAAAATAAAATGTTAATAAATGTTACTAAAATGTTATGATTTTAGAAATTTCTCTGTTGTTCAGCTCTGAAATTACACTAAAACAATTATTCGCCTCAGGTTCGGTGAATATTGTCGAATAATCCCCTCGACTTCGTCTCGGGAATTATTCGACGACATTCACCTCGCCTTCGGCGAATAATTAGGGAGCTTTAGCAACGACGACGGCGACGGCAATGAAAACGTCGCGTCGAAATCTAACTTTTTGTTTATGTAACTCTTTCGAGGTTATTCCGATGTGTTTCACTCGGAAAATGCTAGCGAACTATTCAGGGACTATATCACTACGAACGGCGTTAAAGTAAGGAGAAAGAAAGAAAATTTAACCGTCATGCGCTCACGTTGTCGAGAAAACCTAAAGTTTGGTTATTTCACGTTGTTATTTTGCCGAGAACGGAAAAGAAATGTACGAAATTGTTAAACGTACGTGCAGGGCGATTGTTTTTGCTCATTAAGTCTATTGTTTTCTGCCGTTCTCGTTGCCGTCGCCGTCGTCGTTGTTAAAGCTCCGTATCATAAATGAAAGCACACGAGAGGTTGCTAAGCACGAAAGAAGCGTGAGAGTCGCGCGAGGCGATAGCCGAGAGCGAGCTCAGTCTAGCTTTAAAGGTAGATTCTTTTTTTTCATCAAAGAATCCTTGCGAAAGTAACCCATGTCAGAGTAATTCTACTTGTCAAGCTGGCTTTACTTTAAAAGGATACCGTTGTGTCTGTCCACAAGGATTACGGGGAGAGAATTGTAAACAAGGTATTCCAAGCTTTTTTTTATCACAAGGTATTCCAAGCTTTTTTTTGTTGTCAAGTAAGGCGAATATTCCTGCATTTTTATGTTTCTTGGTATTCTCGTTTTTCCGCTTTAGAAATTTTCGAAATACTCTAAGATATTTGACTGCTTGTTTTCGAAATTATTTTACTTGTATATAACAAAAAACTTCCTTTCCACTTCTTTGCAAGTAATTTGTTTTATCAATTTGAAAAGTCATTTGTGCCATCCTATCGTGATCATATTGAAAAGCTTCACTCAATAGCATTCGAATTTGATAATTAAAATACATTTACATTTCGACCCCTACAAAAGGCACTCTTCATTTCTTAATTAGAATGCTCACTAACAGGGATCAGATTAGCACAGCAGAAATACGGCTGCAGATCTCTTCATCGTGTGTAAGTAGTCTCTCTCTCTTTTGTACTCTTCATTTTTCTAGTCGTTCTGCCTCAGAACTGTTCTCAAGCCCGAAAGGAAACCGGAGTGTACAAAATTTCAAGTCATGGTTCAGACCCATTCCCAGTGTACTGCGATCAGACAAGTGATGGAGGTGGTACGTCAAAATGAATGATAGTCTCAGTGAAGCATTAACTATTCGGTGTAAAAATTCCGTCATTAGGCGTAAAAATTGGCAAATTTAAACCGTTCGTCGTACAAAAAAAAATGAATCTTAAATGTTTTTCTGGCCACCGCAATGGAAAGATATTAACCATAAACCATAAATTGGCCAAAACTTTAAACTAAGGTAGTTTCCACATAAGATGTTCTTTTAGAGGTGACTAGCATAATTATCTAGGAAGGCCCTTGGACTTAAAATTTAAAATGAAGGTCCAGGTCTTATTGATTTATCCATTGCTCTTTAGCGACAGAAATACAGTCAATTGGAAAACTGTTTCTAGAGCTTTGCAGAAGAAACGAGCAATTTCACGACCCTGGACTATTTCTGAGATTTTTTCCTTTTTTATTTTCAAGGGTGGACGATGATTTTTAAATACATTGGAGGCATTTCTTCTTCACCGACTGGTAAAGCGTTGTGGAGTTCATCCAACACATTATCAGAAAATATCCTCGCTACCTTAGATACCACTGCAACCTACCAAGGTCACTACAAAAACCGTCTCGTTCAAAATTGGCAAACTTTTAATCCCCAAGAGGTAAGTCCGCCGGACCATAAAATATTTACATCACAGAGGGTTCGGCCAAATAGAGGGGGCATTGGGGTTTGCGGTTTTGCGGTTTAGGCTGATTTTTAGATCGGTTTTTCGGTTTTGTTGTTCATTGCGTTTTGCAGATTTTCCGTTTTCAGCATTTGGTTTTAGGTTTTCGTCAAACACTTTGACGGTTACTCGGATGTGGTATCCGATGTGCTCTTTCGGTTTTTCATAGTGGGGTTCCGGTTTCTCTTCGATCTGAGTAGCGGTTACACCTCTCTGCTGATCTGGAATGGCCGCGAAACCTATGTTGCTCTACTTGTGAGCACAGTAGCAAGTCGATTAGGATTTTGACAATTCAGACAAAAATGTGCAAATTTATCGGTTTAGACGTTTTTGAAAGCGGTTTTCGGTTTTGATGAATTTTTTTGCGGTTTTGCAGTTTCTAATAGACCTCAATGCCCCCCTCCAAATACATCACAGAGGGTTAGGCTAAATAAAGTTTCGTTTATAAAGTGCTCATGTGTTGTTAACTCACTTCCTTAAAAATGACCTGGAAAAGAAAATTTAGGAACAAGCAGTCAATGTATTAGCCATAGACTGAGGATTCCACTTCACCCTGGAAGCTTTAAATGCTTTGAGGATGATTAGAACCAAGGGTAGTAGTGACCAAGGTAGAACTTTACCAGAAGCAAGCAGATACAATAACTTCTAGTTCAAAACTTTGCTTCCTCGAGTCTACATAGTCGTATCATGTGACATAAAAAGAATTGATGAAATGTTAGAATCCTTCAAAATATGTTTGGGAAAGACAATGGAATTTGATGGACAATTCCTCCAATTCTATACGCATGTACGCATGCGTTAATGGGTAGATAACAGACAATTTTCTTGTGTGACTTTAGGTTCGTGTAGTGCTTTACACGAATGGAGCAGAAGTTATGTCTATGAAGTTCAATGCCAGAGGGACAACTAACCTCGACTGGTTTTCACAAAATAATCTACTTCAATCACCATGGACTGATCTTAAGAGCGCGGCAAACATAAAACCCTTTCTCATCAATGGCCATTATGGGGAACGAAGCTTTGAAATAACGGCCAGCTACGGAGGATGTGGGAATGACGTTGGGTGGTTTGTGATCGGAGGACCTCACTGTGATTGGGAGAGATTTCACCCTGTTCCAGGAATACTCTTCAGCAAGAAAACTCACAAAATCACATGGAATGATAACCAAGGTAGAAATTGCTTTAAGATTCTCAGAAAAGCCACCTGTTATTGTTTTGTTTGTTATAAAAACAGGGAAATAACAAGGGATTTTCTAGGCAGAACTTATCGAATGGTTTCCTTGCTATTCGTTTATTGTTTTCATTAACACAGCATGGAATAACTATTTTCAATTTGTTTTTGTGT